AAAGTGTTATCAGTTTAAATGCAGAATAAATAAATAAATAAATAAATAAATAAGTGAAAATAATGAATAATAAAAATATAACAAATATGAGACACGACCCATTGTCTATATTAGAACACTTCTCATTGGGTAACAAAGTCGTAATCTTTCATTTTTGTCAAAAAGTGTTTACAGTGGTGAAAAATGTTTTAGGTTTTTTTAAATAAAGTTTCAAAAATTTCTATGTATGTGGAAAATGTAGTTGATTACCAAAGGTTACAATTTTTATTTTGAAGACTGCATGGTCTAGGAAGTGACGTACATTTTTTTATGGGGCAAGTTTCCAAGGGCGGGTTTTCTAGGGGCGATTTGACTGCCAAAGAGTGTTGCCAAAGTGCGAGCCAGCGTGTTATTTGATCACAAGTGCGAGACATCGCAAGTGTGAGCCAGCGAGCCATGACGTCACGACAATAGATACGAGACGTTACTCGAGTTGTGGGAGGTATCGGCTGAGATTTGTGGATTACAATTCAAAAAACAACTATAGGTCTAATAATGAATTATTGTGATGTTAAATAGACAATGTTAGCTATCAAGGAGCAACGTTGTTTTTTATTGGGACCTTCGTCCCTTCAAGGCTAGGCCTACACCATCCTAGCTAGTCTAGGCCTAGAGTAGGATAAGGCTAGCGCGACATGCGGACGTTGGTACGTGTTGGTTAGTCTACAAACGTCGCCTAAATTAATTGATTTTACCCGGCAGAACGAAAGAAGGAAACTCCGCTTTTCAGTCGTCTTAGGCCCTTTTTTGACAAACAATGACCTTTCAGAGGTCAAATTGCTGTCAAGAATATGAATTGGCTGCTTCGCAGCAATAAATAGAGATTTGTTCATCCAGCAAAATTGGTAGGGTGTAATGATCAGCCATGCTGACTGAATCTTCTGTCAATAATAATAGCTATATCAATAAGTCACATGAATGGTACGGTAATGTTTCACGAATTGTATAGCCATTTATGAGAATCCCGGGTGAGACTCGGGTAGTTTTATAACCAAGTCACAGTAATGATATTATAATGGTTGGGGATTTGTATAGCACAGTGGAACTCGGGTTGGCCTATAACTACGTAATAGTTTGTAATGGTTAAGGAACTTGTAGTGCTAGCGCATTTTCTGAGACTCGGGCAGTTGTATAATTGCATTAATGTTAATAATATTGTAGAATGATAATGGTTGGCGTGTAGGCCTATAATAGAACCAAGTTAAGAATAGCGCAGTTGCAGTTATGTTATTTTATTCAGTGACTCAACAGAACACATTTTGTTATTATTATTATTATTATCATGTTGTTTTATTTTTATTATTATTAATATCTGTTTATATTTATTTATTTATTCATCATTTTTAAATGTATTTATTTATTTGTCTTTTCTATATGTTATAAATATATATTTAATTTATTTAAAAAGGGACCCACTGTTGAAAGCTTCGCGTGTCGTAGTTTTTCCTTTTCCACCAATTGTAAATTATTTGTTATGAAAAAAAGGAAGATGTGGAATAAATTTGATTTGATTTGATTTTGTGCTGCGATAACTAGTGTGATGGCACACATATCTCAACACTGAAAATTAAAATTTAAGTTATAGCCGGAATATATACACGCTGTAAATTGTCAGATCTTTTCAATGTTCAATAGCTGTAGAAAAATAACTTTTCAACCAAAATATTTTTATAATTAGAACACCCAATAATAAGCTGTTTCAGGCTCAGTACTCTGAACTTGATTTTTAATTAAGATGGAGGAAAAACATTTGGTTTAATATAAGCTGTTTAACTTAACTTCCATTGGAAATATTCAGCTTTTTGAAATTCACAAATATGAATTTTTTAGTCTTTAAATAAAGAAACAAGCAAAGGAACATTAAAAGCATCTGTAATGGCTGGGGACTTATAGCAGACTCGGACAGTTTTAAGGTGACAATAGGTAGTTTTCGCCGGACGATGTTAACCTTAACTTTAACGTTAGTACCCAACATGCAGCGCGATAGCTCCGCCCCTTTTGTAAACAAATCGAAATACGCATGCGGAAACCCGTAACTAACGTACGTCGAGCACGTAAAATACTAAAATTAACGTACTCCCGACACGCAAGATGAATAAATTATGACGTCATCCGTTAACGTAGGTTAACGTCGTGCGGCGAAAACTGCCTATTAGTAGGTATGCTATATGGTTGGGGTTATAGCACATTTTGAGACTGGCAGTAGTATAGTTATATTAATTATAATTAGATACGGTAATGGTTAGGGACTTGTAGTAAGCTTATAGCATGATATTCTGGCAGTTATGCAGTGATATTTATAGTATGTTACAGTATTGTTTGGAGGCTTGTAGGCTTATAGCACATTATGAGACTCGGGCAGTTGTATATAGTGACATTAATTATAATTAGATACGGTAATGGTTAAAGACTTGTAGTAAGCTTATAGCACTTCATGTTATTCTGACATTTATAGTACGGTATTATCTGGGACTTCTATGGCTTATAGAACGTTATGAGACTCGGGCAGTTGTATATAGTGACACTAATATGTTACGGTAATGTTAACAAACTTGTTAGCTTAAAGCAGATTATGAGACTCGGGCAGTTGTATATAGTGACATGTTACGGTATTGTTTGGGGAGGCTTATAGAACTTTATGAGACTCGGGCAGTTGTATATACACGTAGTGACATAATAGTTTGTTACGATATTGTTTAGGCCACTTGTAGGCTTATAGCATAAGTATGAGACTCGGGTAGTTGTATATAGGCGTAGTGACATTAATAGTTAGATACGGTAGTGGTTGGGGACTTGTAGTCTTATAGAACATTTTAATTATGAGAGTCAGGCAGTTGTATATAGTGACATTAGTATGTTACGGTATTGTTTGGGAACATGTAGGCTTATAGCACATTATGAGACTCGGGTAGTTGTAAAGTGACATTTCAGTAATAGTTTGGGATTTTTACGCATATAGATCTAGCGCATTTTTTAGAGACAGGCTGTTGTTTCTTGTTGTATAATCCTGACTGTTTGACTTGATTGAACCAATAACTCTTATATTGGAAGTCGAGTATATTAAGCACCAAACCACGCTAAGTATGTATCATTAATCTTCTTTAGTTTTCTTATTTGTTATAATTTCTTATTATTGAAAGGCTAGATGGAATTTGGCTTGATGATAGTTCGTGCTGCGGCGATGTTTTTGATAATATATCGGATAATATATCATTAGTTAAGATAATCAGTTTTGCGGGAGCAATTATTTTTGTTTAAATATGACACAGTGTGGGAAGAAAACGTTTGCAGCCTTATTCATTATAATATTACTCTCATAATAATGAATCATTTACATCTGGCAAATTGTGTATAACTCAGTGGAGGACTTAACTAATTCTACATTGCGATAGTGGTAATTAGGATTCATTATTCTGAAATAGGGGTTGCGGTCCTTTCAAAACAGCCTTAAAATAGTGACTTGGTAAATTGGTGAGCAAAACATTAAACTATATATTATTAAAAGCAATGCAGCGATTTGCAATGTTTTAGAAGAGATATGTGAATTGCTTTACAAAAAGTGACAAAAGACAAGACAAAAGTGTGGCAAGAACGGTGTGAGATGTTTTAGAGGACTGACAAAATATTATATGTTAATTGCAACATCATGATTATAATGATACTTTACATACCTAAAATAATGACATCAATACAGTATTGACATTGTCGATAAATTAATTACTACAGTAGGTTGCTTAACGCATTTTAAAGCGTTATTAATAAACTACACAATATTATCAAAATACTGTTGCCGGAAATATTAAGGACGATTATTGCTAGTGTACCCACTAAAATATACATTGGATATGATAAATGCCACTTGCTGACAAATATAATGTAGTTTGGGGCTCAATTAACGACCACTCAATTAATTCAATGTCAAGTTGAATAATAGTCAACCCTTATTTTTATACCGTTTATGCAAAATAGCATGGCGTAGCCAGAATATTTCTGTAGTGGGGAACCAGTGTGGGTCCATGATATTATGCGTGGGGGGGGGGGAGTGTTCTGATAGAAGCGAGAAACCAAATATGGCTATATAAATGGTTATATTACGTGACCTCAGCCCGTTTGCTCTCAAATAATAATGTATAAATCAAGTAAAATTTCTATGGAATTAAAGAATCAAAATGAACATCATATTGCTTTATAGCAGTTTATTCATTATACAGAACATTTTAAACCATGAGGAAACTATTGTATTTTGTATTTGAGCAATCATCGACATTTAGAAATGTCAATGAACCTCATTAGCCACATCAGGGGAGTGGGAAGAGGGGGGAGGCCAAAATCTGGGGGCCCTGGCCACCTCTGCCCCCCCCCCCCCCCCGGCTACGCCACTGCAGATGCGACCTTTCTAACTTATTTGGAGAAACTAGGTAGTAATAAGATACATAAATTGACCAAACATTCAACATCTACCCTTCACTCTATTTACATGATTTGTATTACTAACAAAAGAAAGAAATTAATAAGAAATGCTCTACAGGTACGATAATTATTTTTAAAATGACGTCAATCTATTCCGTATAACAATTGACGACGCCACATACAGTGAGTTTAAACACGGAGGATTTAAAAATAGTACAGATTGCGGCTATTTTACGTTATAATCCGATCTGAAATACATTTTAATTCAAAATTCGGTTTAAGAATGGAAATTTCATTTTTAAAACTACTGTAACTTCGCTCTTTGTAATAATTTGTTGAGAAGATTCTAGAATTTTACTTTGGTTTCAGAGCCTTCAGCACAAACATTTGTCAGTTACGTGCATTATAGTATGATGACATAATAATTCGGTAGGAATTAACTTACCCCAACCTACTGCGAAGTACATCCTTAAATTGGATTTCGTGCTAAACACCGCAAAGGCGATTCGACTAGTGAGGTATACTCCTTCGTTCAACATCCAAAATATATTTACCATGTTAAAATACTGCAAAAGGATCAAATTCATTCGGCACACCACTGGCTGTTGAAAAAAAATGTGTAAAATAGTCATGATCTCCTCACGCTGCTTTTAGAAATTGGAGGCCATCAGTTTGAATTAGAAGTGTTCTTTCAAATTCTTTGCAAAAGAACCCTTGAAAAGTAAAGTTATGTTTATTATAAGAAAATGTGAATTTGTAGGGTATAGAGTAGTATTCGAATACCTAAAACATGGCTTCCCACTTGTCTTCACATTTGCGGGTTGCACCTATGGTCATAATATTAAGATACCGTAGTGCATAATTATAGTTCCTACTCTGAACTACTCTACTCTGTTCCTTGGTCTTGATACTCTGCAGTTCAGAACCTAATTGTGTAGTGAATTTTCAACAAAAAGAACTAAAAAATCCACCTATTATGTAATTCAAAATGATCCTTGAGGATTATTGCTTTATTAATTTACTAAATCATGGGGGTGAGGGTGGCAGGGCCCGGTCCGGCGAAACTGACCCCCCCCCCACAAATCTGACACCTCGGGGAGAAAAAAAAATTAGATGTATTTTCTACATATTAGTAGACTCTAAAATCGATGAAATAAGCCTTTGAAACCCCTATATTGTCAAAATTTTCGGGGCTCCGCCCCTGGACCATTTTCGACATCTTTTAAGCGACGCTCGATCACGCCCAGTTTACTCTCGTCGGGGAAATCTGACCCCTCGTTGGCGGAATCGGCCCCTCGTCGGGGGATATCCCCCCCCCCCCGTCGGGCAAATCCTGGCGCCACCCCTGGTCAAATGTACACATCTGGCTCGTATGCGCTTGAACGAACACATTGCATCTTTGGGGAGAGTAGGGATTTATCCCGATGCAATGCTTTATTTCAGCCCCTGTCGTTGTCGAATGATGTGAAACTACTTACTTATAATTGATTCTACATGCCATTCTTGAGAACATTATTCACAATTTTCATGTTCGGATTTATACTCATGTTTTATTAAAATTACGACTAATCAATGTAAATTTTGGTTATGACTTTAAGTGATTTTCTGATTTACAGATTGACTAATTCAGTGATTTATTGGTTTATTATAACATTACACTATTCACACAGCATCGTGTCAATAGATTCAGTGTACTGTAAACAATATTTGCCGGGTTAGAATGTTTTGTCTGTTGTTCAGGATGTAAATTCTATAAAGATGATTTATTGTTCCGCTTAATGCTGATAAATCGCTAAGTGTTACCATATTCATTCTATCACACTAATGACGTTCATTCTACGAATCACGTGACAGCTTCGATCAGATGACTGAACGATGCACTTTACCTTAAATCTACAGTTTACGTCATTCGTATTATAAAAAATCTAATGAAATTTCATCGTACTCACAATGTGTAATATGGATGTGCTGGACGGCGTTTGTGTGTAATCGAAGTTGTCTTTAGTCACCGAAGACTGAGAAGTGAGGATGATAATGGTATATTTCAAAGCAAAGGAGAAAAATAAATTCTTGTGAATGGCCACGCGTGTACATTTTAGAGATCTAACAAGATAGAGAAAAAACACACGCATTATGCTTATGTTCAAGACTAATATTAGGGCGCTTTCGATTTGCACGACACGACGCTAGAACGGAATCAGTCATGCGTGACCGTTCTACCGGGCGTCCTACGTTCTCTGCTATGCATACATAGATTTGGTCAGACCATGGAGGTATTATTGATAATATCAATAATACCTCCATGGTCAGACTGCTGCGTCCTACAATCCGCGCGACGAGCAGAACGTTCTCGCATGCGCAGATGACTTTAGTGACGTCATTACGCTCTACGTCCTACCGTTGTCGTGCAATCGAGAGCTCCCTCTTCTTGTACAAAGAAATCCAATATCTCCCAGCCATAGCTATAAGTTGTTAGATGTGCTCGGACTGAGTAAACTACCACATATGCTGATAGCATAATCATTGACGCAGTCGGAGCAGAATTCTATAAAAATTAACAACCGCTTAAATAACAATCAGCGCCGAATGAATTACAAATTATCAATAATAACTTAAAATAACATGATTTCCTGGGGTTTTTATTTGCTTATTTACTGATGCGCAAGTCTTTGTCCTATTATTCGTTTTTTTTTTAAGAATACCAAATAAAAAGTGACAATATCACATTGATTCCCATGGTGCCTGGATCCATTATAACTCGGAGTAGCCAGATACTGTCTTTAGCGGCAGTGATTCCGACCGCCAGTGGTAGGCCTATGATGATCACTACCGTACTTTATCGGATTCTCTTATTTCAATTGCTTTTTTAAATTGTGTGAATATATACAAATAGCAAATATACCTATACATTGATTTAATGCGCGTATTATGCAACTACAGTAGTTGTAATCAAATAGATTGCTATTCATAGTCCATGTGGTAATCCAGAATTGAATCTGCATTGAAACGAAATGAGAAAGCAATTTCATACGTAGAGAGAAATCATTTGTTCTACATAATTTCCAAAGGTTTGGCCGTAAAAGACAGCCAATTCATATTATAAATCACTTTGAGGAGCTAATATATTGTGCATATTTAATGTAAAAAGAAAGCAATTGCCTAAATTATTCGTTTAAATATAAGCCTATTCTTATGCGAAATACACAACGATGAAAATCTTTCAAAACCCCTTAACCCCTTATTAATTATAACGGTGAATTCCTATGTGGCAGAATATTAAAATTGCACAGGGTTTGTTAGATTAGATTTCATAGTAGCGTGATTATGACCTGCTTGGTAACATAATTCATAAGCACGTTTGATAATATTATTGATAGTAATTGTTATTGTCGTGATGGAATAGACAATAACTGGATTTGCGTCAGGAGAATCATGTATAGGTGTAATTTTGACCTACCTGACGTGGAAATGTACTGAATACTAAGTACGTTTGAAAACAATTGCGAAAAAATCGCAAGTTGTTCTCGGGTGGGAATCTGGAGGTCGTGGGTTGGAGTCCCACCCGAGATTTTTTTTGCAATTGTTTTTAAACGTATTGAGTATTTAGTACATTTCCACATCAGGTAGGGCAAAATTACACCTAGGGCCTATAGATAATTATTATCACTAACATCAACATCAATATCGCCACTGTACTCTTCATCGTCACAATCACTCTCATCATATATCATTATAAAGTGAAAGAAACAGGTGACAAATGGGTATAACAACAAGAAACAACCTTAGACTGCCAGTTGACCGCCATAGGGCGCGAAACTCAGAGTAACAACCAAGCCACAAGAAAACATTGCGGAATATATAATAAATTGTTAGTGATAGGACAACGGCGATAATGATGATGATGATAATGATGGCTATAACGATGAATTTCATAAGGACATTATTAGTGATGATGATTATTATCTCATTTTCATACAAAATTATGATAAAACCATTTGAGCTGATAGCAATGATAATGAATGCGATGATAACATGGTGTTAAGTATGGGATGAAGATGCTGGAGATGAAAATGATAATAATTTATGGCACTGTAGATATATAAAAATGATAATGAAATCAAATAACTCACTTGAAATAGTAAAATATGAAAAGTGATATAAGCAGTAGAAGAAGAGAGATACAGCTAAACGTCAAACAAACAATGGCCAGTATTCGAACTGTTTGATGACCCTAGAAGACATATCAATTTAAAAAAAAAATTTTTTTAAAATATGTTGAGGCACAAATAATTATCACATGTGTGTTCAAAATACATCCCGTGATGCCAGCAGTGGGCCTATGTACTATGCAAAACACGCCTTCTAAATATATTGTTTTTGTGTATTTTCCTTTCGTTTTTTTTATTCGAGTTGGTTGCCACAATTCTTCCAGTATAATGATTAATTTTATCGCAGTACATTATTAGTTTTACAATCATTAAGAATATCGCATCGCAATGTGCCTCAGCTGCTTAGAATTTACGCATTGTTGGTTTTCACTGGTAGCCAATCGTCTTTCAGAGCTATTAATTCAGGTAAGAAATAATAAACTCGCATCATATTCCAATGATGAAAAGTCCTATTCCTTCAAACGCAAAGGGGCGTTATAAAGGCAATTCTAACACTGGCTTGGATGCACTGCGTCTTAGGTTTTGTGCGCATGCTCCTCTTCTCCTTAATAATGTTTTTTTGCTGAAGTTAATTTTTATTTGTCCGATATTTTCAAATCCCACTGATTTAGTTCCTATTTGCTTTTTTTTATATTTTATTCGCATTCAGCATCAAGTAACTCATCAATTAGGCTTAAATGGCGTCCGATACAGAAGGTATTATACAGTTTGAGAAATAACACTTTTTATTAGGAAATTGTTTGAAGAGAATAAAATAACACTTGAACACCATAGTGTGGCAGAGGGAAAAGCAATCTATAAACATTGTTTACATATAAATTATATATGTATATATATGCCTATTTATATTTAATGATGATGATGATTTTTTAAGAAAAAATATTGTCCCTATCGGTTTTAGCATTATAATCACTACAGTACAAAAAGCCCTGTGACCAGCTAATTTCCACTGAAGTAACCTCGCATGATTAAACCTACGACGGACAAATGTCGTTTTACACTTGCAAGTAAAGAAGTGGTAATATCAAACATAGGTAATAAACCGTTATATGACCTCCTGTATATCAGAAACTGTCCCTAGGCGGTTTTCTAATACTATATTTTACGTACTTCTTTCCATTAAAACGCATCATAATGATAAATAATGATAGAACTACTTTATAAAGATTAACTTGAAATAGTAAAACGTAGCTTATATTCTATCGAATTTGAATAGTCGGGTTGTATGCTCCAGGAGGTTGTCATACATTTGCATACGTATCAGTGTGATATTCAACAACTAGTGCATACAGATTTTGAAAATTATACAAAGTATTGCGGCTCACAGATACCATTAAAAAAGTACATTATGTGCATGTCTATTATGATCTATGTTTTGTTAAACTTTTTAACATTTACCTCTGGATGCTGTGGTGCTACTAACGTATAATTCAGGCACTCATTGTAATCTGACTTGTTCTGCCATTCGCCATTTTCTTTACAGATCCGGTATGCACGCACCATACCTGAATGGAAATTTATAATGCTGATAAGAATTCATTAGATTATTTTTTATTATTATTAATTAATTGTTTTATCGTATAACATGTGAGTGCGTGCAATAAAGTATGAAAAGTATATGGACAAAAAGGGTCTAGCCCCGTTGCCATCTGGCCTATTGCCACCCGGCCTTTTGCCACCCGGCCCGTTGCCGCCCGGCCCGTTGCCACTCTGCCTTTTGCCACCTTAGGCCCGTTGAATGGAATGGAATTGAATTGAAATTTATTAGGTACTCTAACACGCAAAACATTACAAAAAATGGTTGCACAAAGCAAAAGTTAACCGATTTCAGTGGCGGATCTAGGGGTGAATAGGGTGGCTAGCCACCCTATTCACCCCCTATTCAGCTGAGAAGTTCGGTCTAAAACCAGACTGTAATTCATATAGGCCTATAAGTTCATTTTTATCAAGAAAATCTTTAACCTGTTCATAAACTTAGGCCTATTTTTCTAATATCTTGAAAATAAGTTATTAAACACGGTAGCCATTTTTATAGGTGAAAATATATTTTTATCGTTGAGTCTAACGACATACTGGATTCACTTTTCGGAATCTGTAACACAATTCCAATTAAACTCAAGAATTTTAGGACAATACCCTATGAGAGATCGCACTTTTACATATAAAGGAAATGTTTAAAAATAATAAATTAAATAGAAATTAAAATTACTGTATTTTTAAAATAAATCATAAGGGATTTGAGCAAGACTGTACAGTACTGCCATTACCACTAACATGGCACGTCGCATGGATGGCGTACTACGGTCGGTTAACGATGTGTTCTAAGGAATCAAAGGTCAATTACCACTAACATGACACGTCGCATGGATGGCGTACTACGGTCGGTTAACGATGTGTTCTAAGGAATCAAAGGTCGCGAGTTCGAATCGCGTCTTGGTACTATTTTTTTTTTATTTTAAGACATTCTATTTTTTTCTATTTTAAGATATTTTAATTTTATATAAATGAATATTTTAATTAACATTCTAACAAAAAATAAATAAAGACCATGACATCAGTAGTTCTAATGTGGGTCCTAGCTCATCTACAGTTGAACATTAAATTGGGCATGTGTACAAGCGAAAATTTGCAATTCGCATGAATAAATTCGCATATTGGTATACAGCCTCTATGCCCAAAAATAAAAATTTTAAACATCAGTTTAACGCGCAGACCAATGAGCGGTCGCGCTTGTTTATTAGGTGAATTGTTAAATAATTTATTTCACTTCCGGCTGTAAAAGTGCATAGAGATATTTACATTATGCGCAAAATAAGTTCACAAATAGGCCTATTAATATTAATATTAATATTATTGTTATTATTATTATTATTATTTATTATCATTATTATTATTATTATTATTATTATTATTATTGTGGTTGTTGTTGCTGTTGTTGTTGATCTTTTTAATGTAGGCCCATTTCTAATAAGCTTACAAATAAATGACAGAGAAAATACAAGGAATAATGGTAATGCTTATTGACTTGTTCTCTGCGGCCTACTTACTTTGATTGTAATCTTCCCAGAAAGGGCAGCTCTCATTAGCTATTTCTCCTGCTCTTGTTGGTGGCCAACACTTAACGTTATCCCAGTGAGCGGAGCAATGTAATCCTTGGTGATTGCATAAAGAGAAACAAACATCGACAATTATAAGAAGTATGGAGAATCTCAATTGAAAAGGGGATGGAGAATGCAAACATTGTTACATAAAAGAATGAGAAGGAAATCAATTGAAAGAGGTGGGCTATAGGTAAACCAAACATTGTCAATAATTCAAAGACGTGTCTATAAAGTATGGAGAAGTCAAGTATTGTCTTTAAAGAAGTATAGGGAGAGAATGACAATAGCAATAAGGACGTAAATGTCAATTACATACAATATGGAGGCGAATAGAACGTAAGTTTTACTTCTTACATACAAGACTCAACGATTTAGGATTTATATAGTGCACACATCCAGAAAACTGTTCAAGGTGCTTTTTTCCCAGGTTATTAGATACGGAATCAACAATACACACCGTGCAACCACCTCCTCTCCCTGGTAAGTATTCTTAGTTATGCGTGTAATCAGCACTAATTTTATTATGAATCATTCACCTCTACAGGGTACTCATTTATAATCCAGGGTGAAGAGAGGCAAATGCAGACAAAGTGTTTTGCCCAAATACACAAACAGTGTGACGAGCATCGGTCTCGAACCCCCGACCTTCCGATTGAAAGTTCAACGCTAGCCCCTTTCACATTTTCACGATTTTTGCTACGATAAAGCACGATTTTTAAAAGTTCTGCAATCGTGCTCTACCGTATGATTCGTACTCCTAAAGTTCAAGTGCATTATAATTTTACGTTTTTGTCAAGGATAAGATGTATTACGGCAGTAATGCGACGACATTGTTACGAATAATAACGATAGAGTTACGACAACGCTGATATTTGTTACGACGTACTACGAATTACAAAGATTGTATTACGATATAAGTACGAATGCACAGGACGCTGCGGCGACAACATTACGACACTCACATGATGCTGCTGTGGTAGACCAAGATTTTTTTTTCAAAGCTACGATTGAGCACGACTTTTGTTAACATTCTAGGTATCTGAGAACAATGACTGTACTATTACTATACAGGTAAATACTGGTGCAGCAAAGCCACCTGTATGTCCACGCAGTACCATCTGAATATAAGACTACCTCTTCGATCATATTTCACTAAGTTATACATTTTATAATACAGTAGTTACGGTTTTTTTTCAGTGTACTTTTCCTCCTTATAAGGCTGCTCTTTCTTTACTTGAGTGGCGCCGCCAAAGCAGTACGCGTCATAGAGGCACAGGATATTATTACTAGGTAAAATACCGGAGCCCAGCATTAACTGAAGCGTGTTTACGGAGATGACTACGTCTTCTCAACATCAAGTGGGTGCCCCTTCCTTCCTTACGTATTCACGATGGTTCAATTTCTGATCAACCAATAATTATTATAATTTTAGACTTTTTATATTTAGTGGTTTAAATGCGCCTTGACACTTCTTATTGTTGAAGGCACTATATAATTTAAGGCAATTTATCCAGGGTTAAGCATAAAAAGTATATCTTATCATGGAGGAAACTTTCTTTCCTATAATCGTTCACTAGAAATTTTGAGGACAAACTTCAACTTGCGCCACGACTCACGACTCCACTGGTGCTTCTAGGTGGCAGAATTGTAAATTAACACTAATTAATGCCATCTAAAAATGTAGGAGAATACCGGTAACCCATAACTAGCAGAGTCATTGCGTATAGGCCTAGGCGTTGTCCGTGACTGTACTTCAGCAGGTGTAAAGAGGAGTATCTTCACATCAGAAAAGAAATTCCTCTGGTTCCAAATTCGATAGTTTCAATATTATTTTTTGTTGAACCAAAAATAAAAACGTAGGCTTATCTTCACATCATTCCACAACGACAGGAGTGGGAATGACCCATAGCATCGAGGCAGAGCATACTCTCCCGAAAGATGCAATAGGCTCTTTAAAGTGCCCAGGAGCCATGTGTAGGCCGACACTGCATCTCTGGTTTTAAGTTGTTATCCGAGAAGACTTAGTTCTACCAACTAAACCGTGGGCGAGGAGCGGCTCGAACCAGCGCCGATGCCAGGTTTAGCGGCGCCCCTACCTTTCCGCTCGGCCACACGACTCGTTTCTAGAGGTTCTTTGTGCATTATTCATTTTTTTCTATCAACTTTAATTCAGACTCATGGACC